CAAGTCAAAGTAGCTTAAACAACGTGGTGATGGTAGAGAATCTAATCACTCAGGTAATGGAAAGATCCAGAAAAAGTTAGGTTTGGAGCAGGGCTGGAGCTGGGGTGAACACCCAGGCAGGTCCTAGTTTGCTTCACTTAGGGGCATCTGTCCCCAGGGTGAAAAGATGGTGGTTAGCAACAGTGAGGATCTGGGATGTCAGACATGCTTATTGTGGGTGACAAAGCACCGCTTTGTAGTAGCTGCTCCCAAAGAAGGAAAATTCTACCCTAAAAATGTGTGTTCATCTCCTTGGCTTGAATGGGCTCATGTGCCCACCTTGAAATGAACACCGGGAAGGCCACCCTGGCCACTGTGTGGGAGAGCTGGTCCCTGCTGGTCACTGTAGTCACCAAGGGGTCCTTGGCTGCAGGGGGCCACAGGCCACAGAGCATCAGACAGGCAGGCAAGTGGAGTGGAGCTGGAAGCAAGGGCCACACGGAGGAGCGTGAGCAGGCACTGTGGTGTACATGCGGACTGGGGACCCAGAGCATAGGTAGGCAGTCAGTGGATAAGAGGGGAGAAGGTTGTGGAAGAGCAGCTTTATGAGAACCAGACGTGCAGCTCACATAGAAAGAGGAGTGCACCTGAGCACAGCGCCAAGGCAGCAACAAGGATGGCATGACTTCAACACTGGCAGGGGCCCTCCCTGCCAGACCTGGGTGAACTTCCCCTTGAGCACCCCAAGCTTGGGCGAAGAGGTCTGACTGTCCTTCCTGGAGAGACATAAAATCGTCCAGAGGGAGTGTGGTGAGTACACTAGAAGGAAAGGACTCCCGTTATTCCTTTCTAGTGCTCTTAGCTTGATACCAAGTACGAAGGACTCTTGTTGACTCCTCTTCCAAGATGAGGGTGCACAGGACTGTGACCTGCCTCTGTGGGACATTACAGAATGCATCTCTTTCTGGTGGTCAAAAATAAAAAAAAGATAAACACAAAAAGACAAAATAACCTGAAAAGCTCCCAAACTCTACGCTTAGCTGCTCTTTCTTGTGAAGTGTGGGGTGGCCTCACTGTGCAGGTGACGTGCAGACAGGGCGTTTTCAGGCCTTCGTGGGATCTTGTGGTGCAGACTGTTGGAGGACTGTGATTGTGCTGCTGCTGCAGTTTGATGTGAGCAGAACGGGCCAGAGCCCAGGTTCTGGGTGGACCGTGACCGGGCCAAGACGTACTGTGAGCAGGGAGGCTTGTAACCCTGTTCCTCCTTTGCTCCTCCAATTCCACGTCCTCTAAACTTCCAAATTTGCAAATATGTGCTCCTTCACTCCTGGCAAAGCTTGCTTCCTCCAGACCCCTCCTCTGGTCTCTGTGCTCTGGGGACACTTGCCGGCCTCCTGCTGCTTCCTTCCTCTCACCCTGTACTCCTCCTTCCCCCTACTTGGTACTTGTGAGCCTTGGGACCCTCAGGCTGCAGGACAGACACAAGATTGCACTCCCTGGAGAAACCTAGATTCCTCACAAGCTCAGAAGTCACAATTGCTCTGGGTCTGGGTTTGCTAACGGGAAGGAAGGATGGAAGGAAGAAAGGAGGAAAATAAGGAGGAAGGAAAGGCAAGAAGGGAGACAGAAAGGGGTGAAGGAAGGCAGGAAGGAAAAGCAGGAGGGCAGGAAGAAAGGCAGGAGGGCAGGAAGAAAGGAAGGCGGGCAGGCAGGGAGGGAGGGAAGGAGGGCGGAAAGCTGGGAGGAAGAACGGCAAACAGGCAGGAGGGAGGAAAGAAGACAGGAAGGAGGGCAGGAGAGAAGGAAGGAAGGAAGGAAGGAAGGAAGGAAGGAAGGAAGGAAAGGAGAGAGGAAAGCAGGAAGGAGGAAAGCCAGGCAGAAAGGAAAGCAGGTGGCAGGAAGAGAGCAAGACAGGAAGGCAGGAAAGCAGGGAGGCGCGGAGGTGGGAGGGTGCTGAGAGTGCTGGCTTCCTGGCTGCTGGGAGGACTCGCTGAGTTACGGATGTGGACCTGCAGCACAAGCAGTGGGAACATAGGGCAGATACTCCTCCCTGGTTTCCTGTTGTACACAGACACAAGTGGTCTGCACAGGGGCTCTGGGACGGGAAGACCTGGTCTGTCACTCAGCTCTACTGACCTGAGGTCCGCATGGAAGAAAAGGTAGCAATGTTAGTTCCTGCTGGTTTCCCACAAAGGTCAGGTAAACTGACAGACAAAAGTGTTTGCGACCCTTGCAGTTTTGATGCAGTCAGTCATCTCACTTTGTGCAAAAGTTCATGTCTGTATCCCGGCTCCCAGGGCCTCCCTGGTCTGGGCATGGTGATGGCGCACTGAGAGTTGGCCTCCTTGCTGCCCAGCTGGGGAGCCTGTGCAGCTCCCTGGTCAGCCTGGGACACGTCTGCCAGACTGCTCGCCTCCTGACAGTGGAGGCTCCTCTGCCCGGAAGCGCTGAGCTTACCCCTGATGGCCCTGCCAGGGACTGGCCTGGGTGGCTCCTCCACAGCAGACCCCTGGTGTCTGGCAATTCCTCCCTAGAGCCTGGCCAGCAAGAACCGTGTTTTCGGGGATCTCTGGGATTATGAGCTTACTCTGCTGTCACTGGTCAGGAAACACAACAACAAAACCGCCCTGGGCTTCCACATGGTCACTCTGTCCTCCCACAGAGAAGGGGGTTCCTTGTGTGGGGCTCAGTGGCCCCCAGAATGGTTTACACTGCTCCATTAGGATGCTGTTTGGGGACAGAAAGATGCTATTTGTAGTCCAGCTAGAGGGACAGTGAAGAGGTTAGCTCAGGTCGTCTTAGCTCTTTCGACCTGGATCCAATATTTTCCTGCAAGAAACAGATAATTCCTGTCCCACTTAAGCCATTTCAGAATAGAAAAATAATTGAAATCTCTGCCCAGCCCATTTATCAGAGTCAGGGTAACCTAAATGCCAGAATTAAATGAAGACCAGAACACTGCAGAAAAATCCAGACACATTTTGGAGGAATGACACCTGGCGGCCCCAGGGTCAGCGGCAAGGTGCCCAGAGGGCCGTGCCGCCCTAGGCCTGGCTTTGCTCCCACCTCTTCTCCCAGGACCCAGCTGGCCTAGGGGCAGCTCCAGGGCACCACGCCCACCTTCCCGGTGCCCGGCGCCCCCCCTCCAGAAGTCTCCACCCTCAGCCCTTCATGGGGAGACTGGGATCTTTGGAGCCCGCAGACCTGAACGTGCTCAAGTAGGGGCACGCGGTCCCGGACGCGGCCTCTGCACAGCACCGCACCGCACCGCG